CAACCTTATTATATCGCACCTTTTATACCGAGACACACACAGAGTAGGTTTCCAAATTGACATTCGAAACTTGTGCACAATCATCATCATCATTTCATTTCATTTCATTTCCATTAGAATGCAATTTTCAAACGTATAAATGAAATTGCCTCTCGATTCGATTCAGATTCGTTTGATTGTGACTATAAAATCCCCAATGTTCCGGATTTTCGTGTAACGATGGACAATTTGTATAATTCTCCTCGTCCCACGCTCGCACGCACACACATACACACACAGAGAAAAAACAAACTCTTTTAATAATTGAAAATAATGACCAACCGGATTTAAACGGGCGTGTAGCATCAAAACAAGTAAAAAACAAATAAACGATTAGTTAAAGCAATCTTTCTTTCGATTGCCTACAACGAAACATCATGGTGCAACTAGTAGCACGAACATTTGCAAAATTGACATGACATTTTTCGTGCCACTAGCGCACGACCGCAAAATATTCATAGAATTTTGTAAATCTAATTCCTTTTTAGCCGCGTGTGACTCGATTTGTTCACATCAATTCCATAATTTTGCCCGTTTCACACTCCCTGTCCCTCTCTCTCTCTCTCTCTCTCTCTCTCTCTCTCTCTCTCTCTCTCTACTGTGCCCCAAAGCTCTATGTTTATTTTCAATTTCCAATTTTCTGTGTGCGAGAAAAATATTGTACCGTTCGGATCGGTCTGGTTAAGGGTTCGGTACCAGTTTTGTTTTGTTTCTTGTTCCGTATACTGTGCTGTGTGTTCTGATCTGATGGTGTTGTGCACTTTCTGTGTACCGTGTCATGTACCGTGTACTGCCACCATTAAGCACTATACCAAATTCACAACTAATTAATTAAAGCTAATTTCCATATAATTTTATGCTTTCGCATAAAATTAATTGCGCAGGCAGAAAATTTTTACGCATTGCACGTGAATATTGAATATCCGATGACGACTGACCGACCGAACGAAAAGACGCAAACTCCGATTGTTTTCATATTCAGATTTCGTTGTGCTACGTTGATTTCGTTATTGTTTATTCTATACGTTATTTTTTCTTTCATATATTTATTCATTATTTTGTGTCGTGAATAGCATTTGATTGAATGAATTTTCAGCTGTTTTCGAAACATTTGATTTCAGTCGAGAAAAGTTTACCGAAATTGCGCATCATCTTGCCTATCTGCAGCATCTAATCGATGTATATCTATAAATATAGGCAAACACATTCACTGTTGGCATCTTCATTGTCGCCGCCGCCTTTCGTCAAAATACTCAATAAAACAAATTAAATATCATCACGACTTTGAATGTGAGCGGAAATTTCGTCTTTTTCACATTTCTTTTCAGTTTTCGACAATACAAACGATGTATATATACATTCGCACCTCATTTGTTTCACCTGTCTCGTTCGGTATTTCTTCAGTGATTTTGACTGACTTAATTTGTTTAAAATGAGCCAAATTTACAACTGAATGTGCGTGTACGTGCAAGCGAATGGCAGATTTTTTTTTGTTCTGTTTTCTTTTCTCGCGCGTTGCTCATTCACCACATCCCAAAATGAAACGTGTTCATCCTGAATTGCGTGGATCAACTTGGATTTAATTGGAAAAAATGCCAAAAGAAATTCGTTTCACTGTTCTCATATGCACAGAAAAAAAAACAAACCATCCCCCAATTCGAACCCAACTTAAATTCCAAACACATTCTGACTGACTGAATGGAAAGTGTACGCGCCGTGTGAACGAAAATTACGTGAAAATGATAATTAATCACTAAATGTTCAAACACATCAAGCGACTGCCATCAGGCGTTTGGGAGTGGTTATGGGTGTTTGTTGGTGTGTTTTTCCCCGTATCCAGCTCTGTTGGCAGGAGGTATGTGTATCGACTGTTCACCAATTTGGATGATTAACGGATTCGATCTCTCGTGGGAGCTTAAAAGCACTGGTGATTTGTACTATCAACAGAGCGCACATAAATATCGACTACTTTGACTAAAATTCACTCGCTCTCGATATACCGAGTGGCATTGTTCCTCTTTTATTTTCAATTTGTACATTAAAATGTGTCCATCATTATGTTTATAATGGTGTCGCATCGAAAAATGTCACTTATTTCTGTTGATTTTTATTTCGATCAATGATAAATTGGAATCGGGATTGCAGAGACAACATCAATACAGCGGTTGATTGAATAAAAGCGATATTTTTTGAATGAATTCGAATTGCTATTTTGATTGCCCGCTGACAATTAATGTCAAAAGGAATCATGTCACCGACCCCTGTCGCTCGACGCACCACAAGCGACCACTCTTTCACTGTTCAAAAATCAAAGTCATTTTTGTGGCATTTCGATCGTTAACCTCTGTCTTGTTTCTGTTCTGCTGTCACACATTCTGTGTGTCATACCACACTCTGTTTTGTTGGTTTCTTTTGAATGAATTCCATGTGATATTTCCATAACGGAATATTGTTTGCAATTATTGTCAATTAAATAAATTTTTGATGGTACAACATTTAAACGGCATAAATTGAAACCGAATAAAATCGGCCTGAGAGTGAAAAAAAAAACCCGAATGAAACAGAAAGATATCGCTGTATATTAGAGCAAAAGTTGTTGTAATCATCGTCGCCGTCGTCTCAGTTGCCACATTGATCTTGTTTAAAAACTATCTGGCTGCTTTTTAACTGCTCCTTGCATTTGTCAGCTATTAATTTTCCATTGAACTGGTTTTCAGTTGGCGCGCAGCGTATTTAGATCATCACCCCGCCAAACAATGGCATTTGGATACACTTTGACTGAAAATCGACGAAATGTGCCAAGTGTCATTGTCCATGATGCGCATTGAGAAAGACACAGAGTGAAAAAGAGAGAGAGAGAGAGAGAGAGAGAGAGAGAGAGAGAGAGAGAGAGAGCATCCCATTGTGAGCAAGTGATATGTGAATTTCAAATTCCAATTCGACTGCAAATTCACAACGAATTTGTCAGCAAAGCGCCGCGAACATCTCGCGTGCGTCAACAATATTCTCTCGTATTCGCCTGAAAAAATAAAATGAGCATTCGCAAAGTAACAACCGAGTGCATTTCTACATCGCATTGGAATTATTAATTTCACTCGTCGTTTTTTTGCTGTTGTTGTTGCTGTTATTCTCATTGAAGTGCTATGTAGCATTGTATGTGCAGTATTATGAGTGTCACTGAATGTCACCTTTCTAATTTGTTCATTTGCATCAAAAACGCAAAGTTCTTCAAAGTTGCATTGTTTCTGTCCAATCGAGGAAAGTGATAGCAACAATTTCTCTCTCTCTCTCTCTCTCTCTCTCTCTATCCCCCTCTCACTCGTGTCACACCAATATTCAGGTAATGCGGATTCCATTCGGCTGTAAATAATGGATTCTTTGTAATATATTGTTGTTTGACCTTTGACATTGGATTCGGCCATAAATCACGAATAATATCGTTATTTGCATTTTCCGTGCGCAAGTGGCAAATGAATGGCGTGATGCAAACAGACGGAACGAAGAAAAAAAATTATAAATTTCACAAATATCAAGATACATACACACAGAGAGAAACTAAGCGATTAATTGCATTTGCGATTTAAAACACGGATGCCGTACGATTCAATCTAATAGCTACTTGGGTCCACGTACATATACATTTTACGGATATGACGGCAATCTTCTTCTGGCGTCTCAGATTTTGTTTTTCTTCTTCCCATCGGCAAATAATTGCATTCCCGTTGGTATCAGCTACAAATGATATTTCATAATTTATTGGATGTAATGTGTAATGAGTGTTCCAAGCGAGAAACGGCAAGAGTTTCATTAAAACTGTGTGCAAAATTTTTTGTTCATTACATCCAATTTGTTTTTGTTCAGCATCGTTCACTCATTTCGCATATTTGCCATTGTTTTAGTGCTTCAAATTCAGGCAACGTGCTATCATCGAATGGGAGAGATAGAAGGAGAGCGAAAGTGTTTGTACATACGGTACGCGTCTTCCGTGTTCTAAATTCCACTGTCACAATGATATTGCGTGTGAAGTTGACTGATGCTACACAGTTCACTAGTAATATCGAAAAGCCATGAAAATCTGATGAGCACATAAAAGTTTTTCCGGTCGTTCGTTTGTTCATTGGTTTATTCTTCATTTCGTTGCCTCTCTCTCTCGCTCTCTCCCATTTTTTCTCTGTGTGTTCTGGCTCTTCTATTTTTTTCGACAGCAGATGATTTGGTCCCTTGCTAATTTAAACAGTCATTCATACTTGCCAAAGTATATTACATGAGCAGCAAACACCAGAGACTGCCTCTACGCTCGGTTATGATTCATTTGTAGCCATTCTGCTGGTGGCTCCCCGTATAAAATTCATATGCGGGAAGCGTTGAATGTAATGTAAATATACGCCATCCTCATACAATTTATGATCAAACTCTACCAGTTAAATCGTCAAAACTTGAAAAGCTGTTTGATCAAGATCGCTCTCGTTCGCTTTCTCTATCCTCCACGCAATGGAAATGCCTTGTGCATACTTGACGCCGAATATCGTTGATATCAACTAGAGCAACGATATATTGACGAGCAGCAAATAGACAGTGTGCGTATACTGGGCAGAAACATGGAGTAATTGCACTGTTAGGCTCCAAAAAATACGCGAAAAAGCAACAACAACAAAAAAGACACACAAACAGAAAAACGTCAACAAAACAGTGCAAGCAAAAGAGAGTGGAATCGCGAACGAGCCAAAAAAAACAGAAACAAAACAAAAATAAAATGATATGAAACGCGCCAAAGCAAAAGCGAAACATGAATATGAATGTAAACATTTCAGAATTAATGTCTATTTCATATAAATATAAATTTGATTATATGCTCTCTCTATATATAGATTTTGAGATATACGCAAACAACGAAACACGTCGAATCAAACAAACAAACGAATAAACAGAAGAAAAAAATGTGTTCGAATTTAATATCTTACCAGTGCTTGTGATAATGCCCCACAGACGGATTAGAAGACGAAGTGCATTACAGGGGTAGCCTTTTTGGCGTCTTCGTCGTCGATTTGTTGATTCCATAATTTTCTAATCCAATGAAATTATTGTCGTTATTTTTTACACCACCGAACCCAAAACAAACTAGCTAGCAACACAAACACAAAATGCGGCAAACACACACTCGAACACGCTTTTGCCTCGCACCACTTTCCGTTTCGACCGAAAACTGTCACAACATACACAACACACTTTTCATCAAGTTTTACACCATCAAAATTGGCATCGCACTCATTCAATCTTCCGATCTGTCTGTGTGCTTGTCTTTCTCTCACTTCCGAATAGATAATAGTGGTACAAAATACACGATATTATATATATTTATCTGTGTAGTCTATGTGACGTTCAAATAATAAGTTGTTAGCACTAAATCTGGCATCAGCATTTCTTCATTGGTCTCGGTTCTTGGCTTCAGCGCTTCGGCTTTTTCGCTTTATAGAAATTGGCTCGAAAGTGATATGCTTATATTGCTGTCGTTATTACTTTTGCTCCTGCGGTCGTGTTTTGCTCCCGCTTTCTCTCTCGCTCTCTCTCTCTATCTCTATGTCGAGCTTATTACATTTTTCATGTCGTTTGTTCAGTCAATTTGATTTTGTTTACATTTATCATGGTTCTTCGAATCCGATTGTCTTGTCTTTGATGACCACTGCACAACCGTTTTTTTTTAGTATTATGGCGTCTAAGCCGCTCTATTGAATTATGGGCTGTTCAATGCCGAGAGCCGCATTTATTCGACACTATGCAATACCGAGTTTAGCCAGTCAACCAACACAAAAAATACACTCACTTACTTACTATTACTTTCGAGCCTCTATGAGCTATGAATGATAAAATAAATGTGAGAACGTGCGATATTACGATGTTTGAATATTGCTTTAGGCTTTAATAGACAGAACTACTGAACGGCTGAATTTGTCGTTAGTGCCTTGTCACACATTTCCATTCAGCGTAACGTAATTCATGGTTCGTTCTTGGATTTATGTTCATTTAATAACTTTTTTGTTGTTGCTATTACTCCGCTTGTGTAGTCGTTGTCGTGCCTATCACATGTAAAACATGGCCCATGCTATCGATGCAGGTATCTCCTTACTATTTTACTATTTCGGTTATGGTTTAATCGTATCAGAGGTAATTCACACATAACACATACAAATAACAGCACAAGCGGTCACCATTTATTATGTTCGTTGCGTTTTTGCAAATTTCAAGCAGCTATGATTTGTCGGTTCGTTAACTGCTACCACTATGGCTGCTGCTGCTGCTGCTGGTGGTGGTGCTGATGCCTGCCTGCCTGCCTGCCTGCCTGCCTGCCCGACTCAGACCCAAATCGAGAATGAGGAATGACCAATGTCAGTCGCAAAAAAGCGTGACATACTCGAAAAGTTGGTGTGATTAAACCAGTAACTAAGTCGAATTGTCTAGCTGACTATCACTCGAATTGGACCGACACCCTTTCGCAACACTCAAACATACGTGCACATGAGGCTCTCTCTCTCTCTCTATCTTTCCCTCTTACTCACCCCTCGTCTCGTGCCCAGTTATAAAACTGTTAAATTTTTGCACACCGTACAGCAAAAACAGCAAAAAAGTTCGAAAACACTTTGAATCTTTGGTCTCGCTTTGCAATTCGTAGTTTTGTTGAAAATTCCGTATTTCGTCATTAAAAACTTCTTCTCCGCTTGATTCAGGCTTGTCCGTTGTCCGTTGTCCTTTGTTCCGCTTTGAGTTATTATTGGTGGATTGCACAGTGTGTGCGTCTATGTGTGCCGCTTCTCTTCGTAGTCAAATTCAATATTGAAACGAGAGAACAAGCGATAGCGATGGAGAGGAAGAGATTCTCTCTATTTTATTTTCGGTCGTTTTATAAAAGCACACAATTCATGCCAATGCAAAACATTTCTCAAATTCGCATTTCACACTTTAGTAATCATGGCCAAAAAGTTTCGGTTTTTATTGCTGATTTGGTTTCGGCAATCGTTTTGTATTTGATGCGCATCTAATATAATTTTCGGTTTTTCTGGCTGGAGAAAACTTACGACCCCGGAACATAGATCTGACAGTACACATCAAGGGTAATAAAGTGTCTTTCGATTCAATGAACTTAACACCACACCGAAGAACAGGCAAACCGCCCGAAAAACCGGACTCGAATAAGCGGTTCAATTCGATCCTTATTCAAAAACACACTCACGTACAATCCGATTTATTAGTTATTTCAATTTCAGCGTCGCCCGCACTCTCGCTCACTCAAATTCGATTCGAATTTTCGAATGAGTCGAGTGGTCAGTGCAAAAGTCCTCTGTTCCACAATACAACACGCACAAAACTAAACTCACATCCGATTCCAAATAAAATCAACAAAAACTACTCAGAAATTTAAAATGTAAACAAAACTAGAGATTGAAATGCAACGAAACACAAAACAGCAACAACAACAACAACAACAACAACAACGAAAAAAAATACTCAACAAACAGTAGCAACCGAGAACATACGCAGTAATAATGAAAAAAAAAATAGAAATCCGTCTATATCTGGTAGCGAATAGCACAAACACACAAAATGTGTGACGAATTGTGAACTTTGTGTTTTCTTTGGCTAAAAATAAAAGGGTGAAACCGTCATTAGCCGATTGAGTGCGAAATTTATTTGAATATTGTCCAAGCTCGTTACGCTGTTCGTTCGATGCAGTATTTATAGAGGTGATTGTTTGGATTGTTGTGCGTCTGTGTGTATGTGGCGTTATTGCTGTTGCCGGTGTTTTTTTTTATTGAATTATTCTCGTCTATCGATGATTTTTGGCAAAAATAACGTTATATGGTAGCCACCAAAAATGACCACCTCAATTCGAATCGAGAACCAACGCTTGTTTACACATGCTGACAACGCGAACGAATTTCGATCAATGTCCAACCGATACGGTACTCTCTCGCGCGCTTTTCACGAATTTAAATTTACGTACGATCTGCCTATTCCCCAACACACTTGTGATGTTTGTTACTATTTGCTCAGAGTGCGACCATACCGAAGCATGTTTGAAATGTGACTGTTCTGTGCTGTGTTTGCATCATCGTGTTTGAAATCTTGCTCGTTTGTAAGCACATCGACAGTCGGATAGAGTGAACAGTCGGCATACAATAGCAGCAGCAGCAGCACCAACAACAACAAAATCAACAGCGACGACAGCAACGGCATGCATTGAAAGCACACAAGTCGAATGTATGCCGAACCAAAGCAATCCACCAAAGCATCGTCGTACAGTACAAGTACCGTATGTATATATCCATGTGCCGTGCTGGTGCGGAACATTCCGAGACAAACCTATTCTAGCCGTAAGCTTCTGTGAACGAGGTGAACAGAGAGCCAACTGAGCATGAGCATTTTTCGAACGAATCGAATAAATATTACGACTAAAAGCAGGCGATAGAAAACGAAAATATAATATGGAGAAGCGAAAGAAAAAAAAACAACAAGAAGTGGAAGAGAGAAATGACATAAACACACGAGCTTACAAACAATGCCAAATGCGACAATAAAAACCAAAAACACAAGAATATCCGAACGGACAGGTTGTTAAAAAGTCGGCGGCGACAACAACAAACAAATACGGTTACTGAATCCACTCTTGAGTTCTTCGTTTTTTTTCTCTCTCTCTTTATTTTGAAGTGGCGACAGTGTGTGTATGCATCGACAGAAATGTGCATGTACAAAGCATTGCATCGAACCATCGTAACAATCGTGTCGTCGTTTCTCTTCTGGTATTTTTTTTGTGCCTTCTGTTATTTTCGGTGTTTGCAACAGCACCGCGCCATGCCGTGCCACTCTTTTACTCCCTGCTTTCATCTTGCTCGTTGCATTTTCCGATTTCGAACGAATAATGTTATGTGGATTTCAAGTGCTCAATGGTGGTGATGGTGATGGTGGTGATGATGGTGGTGGTGGTGTGCATACTGTTTATTTTGTGCTGACAAAGTAAACATCTTGATACTTACGTTTCAAACACTCTTAAATTATTTATGATAATCACATTCAGTATCAATTTTCAGTATGTGTGTGCAACACGCGATCCCATTTTAAATTGCATACATGCAGATTGCGACATAATGCACTCTTTCTCACACCATCAATTGTTATGCCGTTGCTCTGCCGTCGACATTATCACTCGTTCCTATGGAAAGTGGATGGCACTTTCGCAGAAAACAAAACAGAAGAGAAAAAAAAAATTAGAACAAAATGCATGGATAACAATATGAATTATCAATTGACGAGCGAGTAAAATCCAGTTTTCTTTCAATTCATCATGCAGTTTTACTGGCACCATCGTTGGCAACGCGACTATGAACATGTGATTGTTGTTCGGCTTTCGATATACACATGTGGATGGAAGTGAGTGTGTGTGAGAGAGAGAGAGAGAGGAAAATGCTTTGGGGTTGGCAACTCATGTCAGAATCAGCATCGAAGTTACAATTTCCACATCCATGCTGTACACGTATCATGTATTTGAGATGCCCTTTCGTTCAACGATTTCAAATCTTTGTAAAATTCAGTTATAATTTCATTACGGCGCCTGAATGAATTTCCCATTGAGATGACAAAAGAAAGCGTATTGAGTCCATTCACATGCATAATCTTTTTCCATAGAAAATCTTCAACCATTACACGGGCACACAAGCACTATGACAAAGGCATTTCATTTGAAGGAGAAGAGAGAGACGAATGAGAGAGGTATATCGTAAAGAAAAAGCACGCAAATCCATATCGCTATTGTGATAGAAGAGCGATAAAGATAGAAGAAAAAAAACAACATTCTAAACGCCAAACGAAAAAACATGACGAAGAAGCGATCGAATAAACAACGTGTGTATATTTTTTTTTCTCATTCTTTCTGATGCGTCTTCATTTCTCTTCTACTCGCTAGGTTGGCTGGCTGGCTGGCTTGCTTACTTGAAAATCACAATGGAACGGAAAATCCCCATGGAGAAAAGGCGCAAAATATTCCCGATTTAAACGGAAATTAATGCAGATTCATTCGCTATCTGGTGATTTTATGTGCGATTATATCGTATTAGACGTAAATATATCTATTTATAAATGACAAAAGATATCATACATCCGCTTTCGATGTGTTTTTTTTTTCACCTCATCTTTTTTTCGTTCTTTTCCAAATTTTATTTCTCCTTCTTTTTGCTCTTCACTTGCATTGCAACCGATTTGGTCCAAAGCCGATACACGTTGAAATCCCACGTTATGGATTTATATCGCATTTACGGTGAAAATGGGAGAAAAGGAGGAAGAAGAAAATCGGTAAAATGGAGAAAATGCACGTAAGAAATGGATAGAATGCGATAGAAGAAGAAAAATAAAAGGAAAATCCAAACGTTTATTGTGTATTTCACCTTTGCGCGCCTAGATCGAACGCTGATTTGATGGATGTGATGGCACATTGTGCGTTTGCTTTTCGATATATCGACAACACGCTATCATACTACGTGTAGATGTGCTATTTTGGAATGTATAGCCAAGTATATTATCGCTTTTGGGAAAATCTACGGCAAACTTAAGTCATATTTAATTCAATAAAAAATTCATAATAGCATCAACAACAGGTATGATTCAGTCGCTTCTGTGTGTAACTTTCAACTATGCGTCGTTTGTGTGAAAGGCATAGTGAGTTGCATGTTGTACAACGGGTGCTCATCGTTTTCGATGCTAACAAAGGAAAGGAAAAGCGACATTTCTTGATTTTTGAAAAACATCGTCGAAAACACATATGCATCGAACCCTTTTGTGCGTTCAAACGAGTTTTTTTTTTCTTGTACATACTTAATCACTTTTACACATACACACATGCTAACGCACCATACCAGCGGAACAAAAGCCAGCCAATCGGTTTTGAGGCTTCTTGTGAACAATTTTGTGGTTTACAATTTCTCAATTGAGTATGAAATCCGTTTTTTGTATGCTATTCGAACATCGTTGTACCAACCCGATTATTATTTCCTCAATTAGATAGGCATACACAAAGAAAATTTACCAGAAAAATCCATTCATGCTCTTGCTTATTCAATTTGACTACTCCCGGTATCTATATATCGGTGAGTGTGTTTGTATATCAAATATGTGGTTTGACACGTTGACTTTGAGACGAAGAAATTTCAATGCATATCACTTTAATTAATACAACTCAAGAGGACTTCTTAGGCCATGCAGGGCCTCCGCGAGCGCCGAAGGGCGCTGAAAAGGCGCTCGAGCGCATATATTCTCCATAGAAAAGGTGCAGAAAAAATAGAAAAGAGCGCATTTCTCATAGAAAAAAATTGTTGCGAGAGCGCCGATATAGCACGAAAAAGGCGCAAACACTGATGTGATTCTTATATTACACTAAGAAAAACATGCGAACAGTCTTTTTGTAAATATTCAAAGCAGAACAAAATAAAAGTGAGAGAACTATAAATTCTTAGTCTCAAAAATGATCGAAATATTAATCAACGTTTGCACCACATATTATACGAATAATTGCTCCTTGCCAATGTTAGCAGTTTTATCTGATGTTCTTCAAATTCAAAAGGAATTTGAGAATCAATGAAAGCGTCCGTCAGCCAATCGATATTTAGCTTCACCTGAACAATTCCAAAATGATTTCATACTTTTGCTAATTGAAGTAACTAAAAATTCTGTGGAGGAACGATTTGATGCACTGACGAAACACAACGATCTATTTTCATTTTTGTATGACTTTGAAAATTATAATGAAAACAAAGAGAATGGCCATTTGCTCAAATCATGTCAGCAGCTTGAACACGCACTTTCTTATAATGGTGTAAGCGATATAGACGGCAATAATTTATTTCGTGAATTTCCAGTTGTTTCAACCTTAGTTCGAAACAACAATTTGACCATGGCTATTGATATACTAAATATCATTCATCAGAAGAGTCGTATGGTAAATTTGGTTCCTAACTTTGTCATAGCTCTTCGAATTTTCTTAACGGCACCAATAGCTGTTTCTACGGGCGAACGCAGTTTTTCGAAATTAAAACTCATAAAAAATTATCTGCGCAATTCAATGGCACAAGAGCGCCTTAATGGTCTTGCAATTACATCTATCGAACATGAAGTTGCAGAAAAAATTGATTACAATGATATTATCGAAAGTTTTGCAGAAAGCTAAAGCACGAAAAATTAAGTTAACTTGAACAGATTTTGTTGTACTTTGAATAATTTATTTAAAATATATATCACACCTCAAATTCGATGCATTTTTATTTTATTGAAAAAAATTATCCTCTTTTTCTTTCTAATTAAAAGGCGCTGCGACATATCTTGCCCCGAGGCGCATGTATCAAAATATTAATAATCAAAACAGAATTACCTTTCTTATGCGAAACAATAACACATACAATAATGCATTCGATTAAACATTTAATTGGGAACATGCTTCAACCGGTAACAACGACGTATCTTTGAATATATGAAAAAAAAACCGTAAATATCGTCTCTGCTTCTGCTGGAGAGTTACACGTACACATAATGTTAATCACATTTCCCCAATTCATCAAGAACTTAAGTTCAAGCAGGTTTTCAGAAGAAAATTTTTTAATTGCATGGAAATTATTTTGTCATTAATTTCGTAGCACACACACACACACACATGAATCGCTCACTCAGCGGCGTTGTGAGTAAATTCTAAATTTCATTAAAATGTTTGAAAAAGAAGAACTAAAATTCATCTTTCACAAAAAGGGTACTTTCAAACGTTATTACATAGTAACTACATTTAGTAAATTTACGTTTCAAAACGTTAGTATCGTCCCTTTATGCTGCCAAACTTCAGTTTTTCGTCCCGTTTACGTGCAACGAATTCAAGTTCCCAATTTTCGAAAAAGCATAATCAAATTCCGTAACAAGAACTGCGATGTGATCTGGTCTTTATTCCCAGCGGTTCATATATACATAACACTTAAGATTGCCTATATTAAATTTGGCTCACAATAACATCGATTGCCACCACTTCAATCAAAGTTCGCATAACTTTGATTGGATCGAGTGCAGTATTTCAAGTACAATTGCGAAAGTTGAAAATTGATATTGTTATTAAAATGACAATGATAACGATGAAACATGTTGAACATCTCCAGATTTATGTTAAGCACACTGCATGATTCACTTGTGTAAATGAAATTCAAAGAAATCATCAAATCAAACGTTGATTGATGCGTGTGGCGCGTTAAACGATAATTCTTATTCGCCATAAACAGTCGATTGAATTGAGGTTTGCAACGCCATCTGTTGTTTCATGCCCGACACTATGTGCCAATAGTCCCGTGCATTCATCGTGCTGACAGCTCCCGTGTGCTGTATTGTTTGGCACAACTGCTGATAGTTACATAAATACGATTTTTTTCCAATCTGTCAAAATTTCATGCAAATAAATTAGAAAAGTGTAGCTACAGACCTTTTCCGATGGCATCGTTTCTTCGAACAATATCCACGAATCTACGCAGTGGATTACAATTATCAAATGGTAAGTAGATCGAATTGAATTGTGTCATTTATTGCATGAAACATTTCATTTTTATTGATTTTTTTTTATCCCAACAACAGTTGCCAATCGAGTCAATCCAATCGTAGTGCGGTCGCTGTCATCGGATGTAACAAAAGCTGAAGAGAAGAGACGTATGATCTTTTTTTCTTACTCCGTTCCTTTCATCTGTGTATTTTAATTGAAGAACAGTTTAATTTATTGATTGAATGTTTGTATTGTAGCCACTGTTCGCAAACCAGATGAGGCAGCACGTGCAAGTTTAACCGATTTTGGAAAATATGTAGCCGAATGTTTACCAAAATTCGTGCAAAAGGTTCAACTCACGGCAGGCGATGAATTGGAAGTTTTGATCGCACCAGAAGGTGTTATACCAACATTGCAATTCCTGAAGGATCATCACAGCGCCCAATTCAGCAGTTTGGCCGATATTGCTGGCTTAGATGTACCCAGCCGAAAATATCGCTTTGAAGTAATTGGATTGTTCAAGTTTTATTTTCAATGTTTACATAATTAACGCTTTGAATCTCACACAGATTGTGTATAACCTTCTGTCATTGCGATACAATTCCCGGATTCGCGTCAAAACATACACCGACGAATTGACACCAATCGAATCGGCTTGTGAAGTTTTCAAAGCGGCCAACTGGTATGAACGTGAAATCTGGGATATGTACGGTGTATTCTTTGCAAATCATCCCGATTTGAGACGTATTTTGACCGATTACGGTTTCGAAGGACATCCACAACGTCGTGATTTTCCATTATCTGGTTATGTTGAGGTAATTGCAGATCGTTTACGATTTCTTACATTCTATCCAATCCTTGAAATGTTCAATAATTAAATAAATGGCAACAATTTTATCGCATCATTTTGCTTTCGCATTTAAAATTGTGAACCAAAATTGTGTATTGCAGGTGCGTTATGATGATGAAAAGCAACGTGTTGTTTGTGAACCATTGGAGCTAGCTCAGGAATTCCGTAAATTTGATTTGTCCGCACCATGGGAACAATTCCCGAACTTTAGAAATGCAAATCCAGCGTCGGAGGAAATTCCAACCAAAAAAGTTGAAAAATAAAATCTGGAATTTATTTAAAAATGTCCCTGTGCGAACCCGATTCGCTCGAATAAAAGAGGAAAACAATAAAAAAAATTCAAAAAAATTTACATAGAAAATAATGAAAAAACAAAACCAAATCGAAACTATTCAATGTTATGGTTTCAATTTCTTGCGGAGAGAAAGAAGTAGGATTGAAAAACACTGGAATTGGTTTGTTTTCTTCAAATATCATTTTTTTTGTTGCATCATTTCAATTTATTCTTGATTTGAATGCATTAGAAAAATGGTGGTTCGTCCAATGCAGTACAATCACTTTGCGTTTTAGAAAAATAAACTTTCGTCGAGTAATTCCATTTTCTTTTTTCTTAATGAACAAAATATTTTTTAACAATATTTTTCATAAGAATTAATTTTTTTCTCTGCGGAATTTTAAAACTTTTAATCTCCAATAGTTTTTTTTTGTCTGTAATCAAAAGAATGAATTTAGAGCATCGATTTTTTTCTCTTTGCTTGTCCAATTTGATGAAATCGCCGGATGAATCTTTTGAATATCAAATCATTTATTTTGTTTTCAATTTAGAAATCCTGTAACCGAATGAATAACGAAATTTAAATTGTTGTCATTTTTTTTTTAACTTTAAGTCAAATGATGGGTGGAAATCGTGTATATAAATCTGTCATAAATATTTTTCTTTTGTCCTGTTTTTTTTTTTGAATTCTGTTTTTTTTGTAGAGATTTCTATTTAAACCAAGCACTATTTTAAGAAAAGACCCAAGTCAAACACACGGCCACATTTTTCTTCAAATGTATCAACCGGCTCGGGATAGCCTCAAAACATCAACATTGGTCAAATTTTCATTTTTTATTATTTATGTTCTAGTACACCAAAATGTATTCGCTCGAATTGAAAATTTCTGGGGCGTAATTTTCACTAATGATGACATAATATGTGCGAGCAATTGAACAGTACTTTTATTTAAAAAAAAATTCAATGTCATTGCCTCTTTTGAGCTAAACTCATTTTATATGAATGCCACTTATGAGTTTATTTGAGTGTAAGGAAAAGTTTCCTCCAAATCCAGTAGGAACATATTTACGGTACAAATGTCATTAATCGAATCACCAGATATCCAAGAGGGTATGGCTAGAGAGAGGGTATGAAAAAAATCTCTCGGTTTAAATATATTTGCTGTATGGCAATTGACTAAAGTTGTTTGAATTTTGAAAACTCGTTCGAGAACAATTTGATTGATGTGAGAGAGTTGTACTGGGGAATACTTTCCATCAAAATTGGTTTTGCATCCACGAGAGAAAAAAACGACTCTATTCTTCTACTCCACGTCGTCAAAATGTTAAACGCAAGCGTTTCTCTAAAAATTTCTTCTTTTCCACGTATTTTCTCTCTCTCTCTCTCTGTGTGTGTGTGTGTATTTTCTATCTTAAATGTTTAGTTTGATTCATGTTCAACAATAAGACTTTTCTACTTTGATGATTATTAATTGGATGAGTCGGCTCATATTACAACAACAAAAATAACAACATCAATTTATTTGACCAAATAAAAATGTATCTCATGCCTGAGATACATTATATAGAGTTGATCATCGTTTTCATTAATTTATTTATATATATATATAATTTCCATTTTTTTTATCCATTGTGTGTGTGTTGATTTAAATTTTCGGTTTTGGTATTTGGTTTTTTTTTGCAAATTGTTTTTGTTTGTTTTGGTAAAATTTTGTCATAAAAGTGACAGAAGACTACGTTTTTTTTCTTGACGTTTTCAATGTGTGTTAATTCACTAAATGGCACCATTTTCCTGTCAACTCTACCAAGTAAAATCGCATATGTTTTTTTTTGGATTTCAATTTTTCTCTTCTCTCTTTTGGAAAAACACACTGGTGATGCAATCCAGAAAGTAAAAAATCATCTTTGTAGCTCTTTGACGATATTAAATGCGGTTCAAAATTGTGGAAATTATTTAAAATTTACAAATAAAAATCGATGTGACGACTCTTGGTTTACAAATATATTTCATTTCCATTTTGTTTGTAGCTTTTCAAGCCATTGTTATGATAAATTGCGGTTACCGATTTTTCTATTTGCTGAAAACACATCGAAGAAAAAACATTAAACATTTTTGTGCTTTTGAACTACGATTCTATATAAGACAAATTATTTATTTTTCTCTTTTGGTTTAAAAAATCTTTAACATGTATCTGTGTTAAGCGTGGCGACAAGTTCACAATCGCATTTTTCTTCATCTTCTATTTGTTTGTCACACCGGTCATATTCATGTTTATCCATAGACATATGTGTATGTTATATTTAGATATATTTATTGCGATAATTTATGTGTATTTGTATTTTGTTTTCTTCTGTTTCTGCAAAGGGCAGACTACACACATCTACGCAATAAACAGAAAACAAATTAAATTGAATATATCGGGAATTCTCAGGTTCTATTTTGTACTTTTGCTAGTTACGTAAAATTTAATTTTGTTTTTAATTTTACATTTATGGTTTGTTTGTTTGTTTTTATTTTCTCTTCAAAGGATATGATTCTATATGTTTTGCATAGCTTGTGTGTATGATTTGTATGGTTTTTTTTTTAATTTGTATTACATCCATCTATACATACTATTGATTGAACATCATTTGCAATGAATCCATTAACTGTTACGTATGCTTGTCATTTGTTACATGTCGATTGTTTTCCATTATTTCTATAGTATAAATATAGAATTAAAGAACACGGTGTCATGTTGGGTTGTGGTGTAGGGCAGGTGAGGTATGGCGATTGGTAAAACTCTGTTCAATTTGCCATTTCATAGCAATATTATTACACAGATTCGTTTACTCGACAAAGAAAACGAATTGTCACGGTGTTTTGTAGTCGAAGCGCGAAATTCAAATGCTTGCGATAAAAGTATGAATTCGCCAATTGGTTTTTGGGTTGAGGTGGTATAAAATCTAGGGGCTAGGAACAAGTTGTGAGATTCACATAGATTCGCATATATTCATGCGTTCGTGGCTTTATTATTGTTGTTGTACACTCACTGCGCTGCGAATGTCTCGTATACACAATCACACGAATTCACAAATATTTGTACGGATTCGTCTCAAGCGCTTGTGTTCTTACCCCCTAGTATAAAATTCATTTGTGCCATGGTTTTTGTTGTTGTTGTTGTTAATGTTGTTGTTTATAGATTATTCATCATCATTCGTTTCACGCGAATCATTCTTATGACAGCGAACTGGACTTGGGATGATGCCGCAAACCGGATGGTGTTGTTAAATTTTTCGCTGTGTCATTGGACGAGGAAGTTGATGGTTCATTTGAATTTTGTCGTTCGTGGTATTCCTGAAAGCATGGCACTATACACAAATTCGTTTGACATTCGGGACAATGGTATTTCGTTTTTCGCCGCAGAATACGTCCATGAGCATCAATGGTATTCCAACAGAAATTACAACCCAATGCCGGACCCGGTCGTATAACTGGACAATGTTGTGAGCGATTCTCCAATGAGATCTCTCGCAGTAAATGCTGCAATGAAATGAAATAATACACTTGGACCATTTCTACCTGGTTTTAAAAGGCAAAACATCAGATACAAACCTGCGGCGATGAAACAGAGCGCTGCAGTTCTTCAGATCTGACTCGCATCGGTGGTGGCTGGTCGGTTGGTTCGGACACAACAACAAATGTTGGACTTAGATCATGGGCCGATTTTGGTTCGGTTATCGATATACTGGTGCTGATCATGGGTCGCAACGAATGACTGCTACTGCTGCTGCCGCTGGCGCCGGCGCCGGCACCGGTGCCGCTCGACAAACTGAGCGGCTCCTTTTCCTCGGCAATCGTAAATGGATCGGAACGATCGGGCGGAGGTGAATGTGCTGATGGCAGCGACAGTTGCCGATGCAATGAAAAATGCGAATGCGACTCTTGGCGATGATAAGAGAATTGCGTATCACATATCGAATGACTGGGTGCACTGTGTTGCTTGGTTAAAATGGGGGCATGTGGTACAGTAAGTAAATGCATCGCTGCTGCCGCTGCCGCCGATGATGACGGTGGCGGTGATTGTGATGACAATCGCGGCGATGGCTCGGACACGTGCCGCTCCATTTTCGCAACGGCCGACAATCGGTTGTGTGATGAGTATGGGCTCGAGCTCCGTTCATAATCAATATCATCGGGTGAGGAGGGCATTTGACTTGGATCAATGTCTTTTTTAATTCGCGATTGCCGTATCAGTTGTCTTCCACGTTTCGTTCCAGGTACAACTAAGTTTCTAGCTACAATCAAAAATGTGCGTGAGTGAAAAACAATTTCCATTTTAGAAACGAAAAAAAAAGAAATGAATAAATGAATGTTCTGAATGCGAAATGACAGACATCAATCAATCAATTATCGAACAATGGAACGCATAGCAACAACAACAAAAAAGTGCCAGAACAAAAACAACGTGACGATGACGATGACAATGATAATTAATGCGATAAAATGTTGAATGTTAACGAAATATGATGACAGCGAAAAGCCAAAAAAAAAAATTCAATAAATGATCGAGCAGTAAGAGTTGTGTGTGTTTTTTTTTCTTTTTCTTTTTATTTTGCATATCGATTGAACTTTATTTACAGAATTTTTCTTATAGGCTGATAAATGATTTGTTCGTACAATATTACTCGTGTGATTGTGTTTGTGTGCTTAGACTGGTTCATTTTATTCTTTTCTTCAGAAAAAAATACCGGATAAAAAACTAATAATAATTCATTGCATAAAATAACCTGATTTTTATTCAGCATTTTGCAGATAGAAAAATATGCATGATATAAATTACAAATTAATTGTTGTTGTTTTTTTTTCAAATAAAAAAAACATATTAGGAAAACGAAACATTTGGTAATTGGACTTAAGAATTAAAGACACATAAAATGTTTATTCCCGTGATTTATGTTTCAATCATTTTATTACTGAGAATTAACCGATTTGTATGCGACGAATGACTAAAATTGCAATTAAATCTATTACAACTAATAATAAAGAAAGGGGGAAAAAACCCAAGAAAAATTTGGATGAATAAATGAGATAGGTATATAGACAAAGAGAGAGGGAGAGATAAAGATGGAAAAAGGTCAATTGTATGGGGTTTTGTTTTTGATTGATCAGTGTTTCGATGGACATGAATCGGTGCGAAATGAAACGCATTAACTCTGCCAATTGTTCACACAAATTGTTTTGTTATTATTTGTTTTTGTTTTTTTTATTTTACAAAAGTAATAAAGTCTTATGTAAGTCTCCCGTCAGTTTGAAACATTGTCTTTCGGTTAGCATGAACTGGGCATTTGTTCATTTTTTTTTTCTTGATATGAAGCTTCGTTAGTCGAATTTAAGTTGTGTTTTATATGGCACTTCCATACGTTACGTTAGTTTCATTTTGGAAATAAATGCTTTAGCTGAGAGGGGAGCAAGGAGGACGCGATTTGCACGTGACACGGCAAATGACTTTATTGCAACACAATTTTTTTTAGTTTTGTTCTCATGCATTTCGTTTCTATTTTTCTTTCTAAATTCTTAAGTCAGTTCTCCCAAATCACACAATTTCAATGGAGGCAGAACGAAACAAAAAAAAAATTGCTCTAGGAATTTGATCTGGAAACTACAAGAGAGAACTGCACAAAAAATTCGTAGGAACACACCGCTTATTATATTAGGTTTTTTTTTGCATTATATTTAGTTTCGAGTTGCATCTCTTCGGTTTCTAGTCTCTTTTTGTTTGCTTGTTTAATTAAAGTTAGTTGTGTTTTATGGAAATAGTGTTTTGCTTTTTCTTTAGCTAGCATGATGACTTGTATTAGCAAAATTAGTGTTTAATGTGTATGTTCGTTAATGCATGTTCCATGGTTTGTATTCGTAAAATGATTGCTCTTATGGCCTAAACGAAAAATTAAAGCGAAAACGAAGACGAAGAGCGCATTCTTGTTCATGAATTGTTTGTGAATTAGCAATGGGAATTGTTCCTCCTCTTTGTGTTCGTGTGTGTGTCTGTGAGTGTGTCATAGTGTGTTTTTTTTTCTGGGGGGATGTGTTTATTATAAGAGTTTTACTTAATTTTTTTTTTGTTTCTTTAATAGTCACAATATATATATATTTAACATCTACATAGTCACTATTAGTATAAATTTTGCCATAGGTCAATTTGAAATCTTACAATCTAGTACATATATAATTTACTTTCAAAAGTGAAATCATTCTTGCAATCTTTCCCACACAAAATCATTGTGTTATATGCCGTACTTTGCGGGGGATTTTTTCTTCTTCTTCTTCATCCTCTTCATCTCTTTCGGGGCTATGGGATCTATTTATCTACGAACTTGTGGGCAATTCTCTTTAATCATTATTTAATCGTTTAATCTTTCACACATCTTCCTCTCTTTCTTTTGCTTATTTTTATTACTTCAATTTTTTTTTGTTTAAATTTTATTTATTGAAAAATAAACTAATGAAATGATGGCTACACATCTTATAAATCTAGAGTTACATTTATAAACAAGTTCAAAATTCCTAGATGTATATGCATAGCTTTATAAGTAAAATCCATTTCAATATTCATATATAGGACTTATTTTCCATTTTTTTTGTTGTTGTTATTTGTTGTTGTTTACAATCAGCAGAAAAAGTATTGTGCCATGTAGCTAAATACACAATTGATAGATAGTTGCATTGGAAACATAGGAGAGTGAAACAGAAAAATAAAAACAAAATCAAATGTTCGGAGGCATAATATGTAATAGTTTGCTATTGCAAATATATGCAAAGAAAAAATTTAGTTTCCTTTTCGCAGTTTAGACGACACAAAACTATTAAATATAAACCCTCACATATGCACTGTTTTTGCAAGTATTTAAATTAAGACAGTAACACAGACAGAACATCTTTTACGTTTGTTTATTATAAAATTTCACGTTTATGCATCGAATATGTCACATAGTTTTACATGTGGTTCTTATTTTCTCCTTCTCCTCCTTTTCTTTTTTTTCATGCTGTCACCCAATTGTAATCCCGTTTAATTTCGGTTTGTATGTGCTGTTTTTATCCATGGTTGCTCTTGAGATACTGGGTGTGTTGTTGTGATTGTTTTATTTTTCATCTTTTTTGAATGGATAAAGTATTTGAAAACGAAAAATGTTCGGATGATGGCCACAAGATCATGATGCATCACCGATGCACAATCGATACATGTCAGTTTTGTGTGTGTGTGTGCAATGTTTTTCTATTGATAATATTTCCATTTAAATCTGTTCGTTATTCTTTGTTCCTTTTACATCCTTGGGTTGGCTGTTGATAGTCTGTGGTGCGAGACAACGTCAAGAGCATTCTAGTCGGGCCGATGATTTCCGTTGAGTTTTGCATTTTCCAACCATATTGTTGTTCCTTCCATCCGTTTCATTTGGATGGGTACCGAACGATTACACCAAAATCATGTGCTTACATCGAATTAAAGTTGAGTCCTTGTAAGTTTATGGCCGTTGGATTGACATTTACTCCGTCTGGATATCGTTGGCGCTGCAGTGTGGTTGGATGCGGTTCGAATGACACGTGCGTTGTACGCGTTGTGTCGAGAAAACTCATGACGCCCATTGCTGGGTGTGCGTGTGGCGGGCACATAATTGATGTTGGTGTTTCGGCTGGCGGTGGAACGGCGCTCATGTTAATTGTCGATTGCTGGGCTGGTGTCATGTTGTGTTCATAGTTTTCCATCGATGTGTTTTCTTCATTGGTTGGTGCGGGCGATGTTGGCGGCGGTGTCATGTTCGGTTCCAATTTGATTCGATTCTTTATGCTCGGCCGACTGATTGGATAGCCGCGCTTCTTGTATTCAAGCCATAGCGTTCGATTATTACAACCATACATGCGAGCTGCCTTACAGAAACCAATGCCACCGTAACGAACTGCCTCCAGAGCTCGTTGGAAATTCTCATCGCTCTGTGGATTAACTGATCGCTTCCGTTTTGGGGCTGCTTGTGATGTTGTGGCAGTGGATGTTGACGATGAAGATGTGGTTTGTGGTTGTGCGGCCTGTGGCGGCTGTTGTGACTGTTGTTGTTGATTTGTTGTTCCACTAGCTGCGATTGAAAAATTATTGGTTTTTTTTTTTGCTTAGCAAAATTGTTTTGTGGTGCGGTGCGCACATGAAAATTGGACAAATTTTCGACCAAATTCGGCAAAACAAAAATAACAAACAATTGAATACAAGCTTTTTGGAAGAGAAAATTAGTGCATAGATACATGTTGTAGTTTACAACTATTTGAAACAAATTTATTATGAAAGTGATTTTTTTATATTGACTCATTTTAATCTAAGTCAAAAATTGGTTAACAAACTAAGCAATTCGTACAACCAAAATGATGCGGAATCAATTATTATTTCTGTTTTGCCGAATCGGGCCGTAAATTTTCAACTTGATTTTTCGTTGTCAAAACAATTTCTGATCCTTACAATTAATAGGTGACTGGTTTGGAGTGGGTCCTTGACTATATTGTACTATATTTGAGTCGTTTCCTTGTGGAGATGTCGGTGTCGATAAACTCGCCGAATAATTATTGACTAAAGTATTTGGATTTAATGCTAAATCAGCAGCATAAACGAAAAAAATTTATTGGTTTCAGTTTGGGAGAATTTCAATCTTTTTTCGGCGTCAATTCAATCAATTGTTTGGCAAAAGTGACTTCCATTGGACCAGAAGGTGTTTTATAATTTGTGAAGATTGGACGGAAAAGGGATGAATCGGTTGCATCAATTCATTTGATACGCACAAAGCAAGAGTTGCACTTATGTGTTTTTTCTATAACTAAAACGAAGAAAAACTTTCAGCAAAAGGGAGACAAGTGAAGTTGCGAAAAAAAGTAACAAAACTCAGTATTGAGCGGAATGAATGTTCTTTACATTTTTCTCATTACGTAAAAAGATAACGATTAAGTATCGGCATATTTGAAGTTCTTCTGATGTTCTACAATAATGTTCTAATCGTTATTCTCTTTACAATATCGAAAAATTGCAAAAAAAAACGTCTTTTCCGCTCAATACTGAGCTATGTCACTTTTGTTCGCAACTTTATTTGTTTCTTTTTTGCTCAAAGTTTTATCCGCCTCAGTTATTGAATTAGTTTTTATAAGTCTATCTCTTGCTTTCATCGTGCTATTTGTTTTAAGTTGGGAGAAATTTCCGAAAATAGCGTGAAACGTTGTTGATGGTTTTTTTTTGTTCACAGAAAATTTTATTCGAAGTTAATTGTTTTCCGGTCAGATTTTTTCTACAGAGATAGAGGATAGGTTGACCGTGTTAAATATGCGGTGGTTTTTATCAGGATTTATATTTGAATATTGAAAAATAGGCAGAAATTGTGCAAACCATAAGCAGTACAAATCATTAGCCGATTTGAGCTGATTCAACAACGGAACTAATCATTGTGAGAGGAAATTTCTTACCAAACGAGAGAAAAAAACAATCCCAAATTTGAATAATGCTGCGAGAGAATGTGATGCCAATCGGTTGTAGTCATTAGTCCGAAAATCACATTTGCCGAACAATTAAAATGAAATGCCAAGAAAAAAAACAAGAAATTCGTCCGGTTTATCCAAATTCTTTTCTTCTTTTTTTTCTCTGGTTCTCTTGTCACATTCGATTCATTACTTGTAATCATCTGGCCACTCGTGTACGCCGATCCGTATTGGATTTGAGTGTGATTCGATGACACAGCTGTATTTGATGTTGGAGCTGTATTTGATGTGTGCTGATTATCTTCCGGATTGTTGTGGTGTGCGGATGATGCTAGTCCAACATTTGTCGTACATGTTGATAGTGTAAATCTATAATTCGAATCGATCCATTGCACACCTGGGAGAGGATGAGAGCCAATTAGATAATAAATTCATTGAATTTTCACCGAATTACTACAAAATCGGTTGCTTTTATTTTGCATTTTGTATGGAAAATTGAAAATTTTCGTTTTCGCGTTTCACCGAATTGTCTAAAACAAAAATTTTTCGTTTTCGAAAAACAAAATTTTAAAACATTGTATGGAAAATTACTAAAATGGGTGTGTTTGGGAGACATTTTGTCAGCCCATATCTCAATCAATGGTCATTTGCCATGGACGGCAATCAAAATACATGCAATTTGGAAATTCGCAAAAATTTCGAACACGAGCTAAATGCGTGTTTTGGTGCCTCATATCGAATTAAATTCTCTTTTCTTACAGAATTTTCATATTTTCCATACAAAATCTGTTTGTTTTTATTTGTTTTTTTTTTTTATTTCAAAATTAAGACACGAAAATCTAACATCTGTTTATTTTGTTTAATTTTTTTTTTTGCAAATCATTGTGTGTTTTCTTTTTTTTTTCATTCAGTCTCATTGAAATGAATTTCATGAAAATGAAGTAATTGAAAAAATATCCAAATAAATCGTTAAAAAAAGTTTTTTTAAGAAAAAAAAAATCATATGTAGATTCAATTAGCAAAACGAAACCATTGGTTTCTTGTTCTTGTTTTCGATTGTATTTGATGTATACAAATTACTTCTTGGTTGGTTCTACTTCTGTTCATCATAATACATCACAAAAAAAGATACAGTTTGATGATTTTGGAATACGTAAATGTACAAATTCGGAAAACGTGGAAGTTCAAGTAATGCGACCATTATCTCATTACAGACGTCAACTCTTATTCATTAACATTTTTCATTGTTCATTTCTCCAAATGTTGTCGAAAAACCAAAACAGAAACAAAAAAATTGTTTTGAATGAATATTTAAAAAAAAAAAATCGGTCATAAAACGAAAACAAAAGTTTTTTTTTGTGTTTATAGAGCTCTCTCCTCGTCCCAGATTGCGCAGCAGATTACACACTCATGCGAATGTGCGCAATGAAATAGATTTCACAACAAAACAGCAAATATGTTAAACGGTGTTGGAAAAAAAAAACCATTACAATTTTTTTGTAAAGAATGATGTCTGATCTGAGAGGTCTAAAATATCATATCATTTCTCGGATGCATGGAGATTCATCATCGATCGGTTCATTTTTATTCGCGTTGTGTGTTTTATTTGTTTGTGTGATTGTGTGTGTGTGTGTGTTTGTGTTCAACATTCGATTGTTGCCTTCTGTTCACATACTCATTACTTTTTGTGGTTCATACAATTTGACTGATCAATTCAATTGTATTTACATCTTATTTTTTAAAATGATTCTGTGAAATGTTGAAAGTGTAGGAATGTTTTTTTTTCATTTCAGGGAGAGATATGCGTATGTATGTGTATGTGCTAATTTATGATGTGTGCTGCTTTTATTCGAACAATAGCAAAAGATTTTTTTTTTAAATTGAAGTTCATTCTGTTCCTTTTGCTTTGTTTGTTTTTGGCGAAACATACATTTTGAACAATTTTCAATATTTTCTTTCTTCTTATTCTGAATGATTAGAATTTTATCATATTAAACAAATTATTTCATGATTGGTGTTTGTTGCGAAGAGCATGATAAGTAAATGTTGCGTATAACAATGCCAATATCTCAATGGGGAAAAAGTCGGAAAAACTTAAATGGATTTGAGAATGTCCATGTTGGCATTTTGTCAGGCCTATCTTGCTATCTCTGATCGATTCTTCGAATCAATTCAAATGTATTGAATTAAATGTATCTTAGGAGACCATTTGAGTCGCAAAGAAATCAGAAAAAGCAGTCAAAGCCCGTGCAACTCGCGTCAAGCCAACACGGTAGTTCTTCCAATGAACGAATCCATTTATATTTTCAACCATTTCCATGAGATGAATCAAAAACTAAAATGTTAGGATTGTGAATGTTCAAAAACAAATATTTTAAAATTAACGCATATGGATTATGATTCTTATCGTGTGCCAATTTCCGTTGCATGGTATAAATTTGTACGGTTGATTGCTCTTACTTCTGACAGTAATATGAAATGTGTAATGTGTGGTATAATGGCTGGTTTGAATAGAGGTTGTTTGTTTGTTTTTTGTTGGTGGAGGGGGTTGGTGCCATCGAAATAAATATAACAATGATAAAACAGAAGAATTTCGTAAGAATCTGAGAGGCTCAAAAACGATTTTCAATGGACAAACGAAATGAATGAATAAAAAAAAAACAGAAGAAACATTTTTTTCGTTTCAACGCATCTATTAGGGATCAATGTGCGGTCGGTTGGCGAATTCATGACATTTGATGAAAGAGAGTATGAGAATGTTGTGTGTAATGTTTTTGTGAGTATCATGCATCTTAAACAAGAAGTTCGTATATAAAAACAAAAGAACGAAAAATAAAAGCGAAAAAAAAAATTGTACGAAAACACAACGGAAAAAAATCAACAAAACAATCAGGGATTAATGTCGTTCATTTCGAGCGTGAAATGAATTCACATTTAAAAGAACGAATCGTAAAAAAAAGAAAAATTATACGACAACAATTTAGCCGTCGTCGGAGTTATGAATTTATTAAAAAAAAAAAAACTATGATGGTTGAGACATTAAATAAAATAGTTCGATTAATTGATAGATGTTGAGATTTTTCGAATCTCGAAAAAATGCTGCATCTTCGTTAAATACGACTCCATCGTTCGAGTTCAGTGTTCACAAAAAGAGCAAACATTCTCGTTTGTTGAATGTTTGCATTCGGTGATATCACGAACAAAATCGTTGCTTCTCAACGAAAATGCAAAATTTTTTCCAAGAAAATGCTAAAAAAAACCGCCCTAAACATAGAAGCAGCAACATTTTGTTTGTCTTTCATGTGATTGACTTACCGTGCGGTGTTTGTGATTGCGAACAACTAACCGACGTTCCATGATCTGATGGCGTAGTTGGGCTCGTAATATCTATGGGCATCTGTTGTTGCGACACATTTGACAATTCATCCGATTTCTTAATATAAGACTGTAAACGGAAACACACACACAATTAGTATCGCTCATTGAATCGGCTGAGTCGGGTGGGGGAAGAATGCATTTCCCGCGCCACTTCTTGCTTTATCTCAAAAACCAGCAACAGAAAAAAATACTTACGATCTGATGAATGTGATGTGAGTGATTTCCGGCATCAACATTTTCGTGCGTTGCATCATGTGGTTGATTTGTGGCATCTGGGTTACAACTTTCTTTGATTATTTTCGTATTCATATTATGGGATAAATTTGTTGGTGCCGATCCACAGAATGGATCAATTTGACACATATTTATACCTGCTTGACCTTCGATGCTGCTATGTTCTTCCGATGTGCGCTCAGTGGATGCGGAACCAGAACCAGCTAAACCAGTAGATTGAACGAAAAAAAAGGAAATAAACAATAACGCTTGCCTATCTTATTTGCATAGGTGGTTTTTTTTCAATCTGTCTTCCACTTACCTGTTGAGGCCTTTCGCAGCCGCTTTCGTCGATTTGCCGAGGGTGATATTGTGCCAGGTGTTGGAGAGCGTCTTTGTGATTGCTGCTGTTGAGACTGGTGTGATGTTTGATGTTGCAGAGTCTGTTGGTGATATTGCTGTGATTCGCTGCTGCCCCACATCGACTCAACGCCACTGTTTTGCACATTCGGATCAGTTTGATCCGATGACTTGCTCTCCGATTTGGTAAGGGAGACTGGATCGGGCATCTCAGCTAAACCTTTGATTTTCAGCATTTCAGCTGTTTTCAGTATATGTGGAAGTTGTTCTTGTGACACATTTACTTCGCCATAGTACATGAAATCAACCATCGTTTTCAGATCATTGTATTGGACATCTTTCAATATCACTATCGGATGCTGGCAAGGATTGGTTGTGAACAGCGACTGCAATGCCACAGCGAAATTGATTGAAAATCGCGCGCGTATGCCCAACCAGCCAGCCACAAATGGAAGAAGCATAAAATATTTGAGAAAATGAGGGAGAGAAATTGATGCATTTTAATGAATAAAAATCAATGTAAGTCATAAATCTGAGTGTGTCGTGAATTGTATACAATTCGCACAGTATCGCACTAGGAACACTTGCAAATACAAACAATCATGGCGGATTCAGTGCATATCTATCTATCTGTCTCTGTGTATATATGTTTGATATACGTATATCGATATGTAAGTATATATATCTATATGTGCACAAGCATAGGCACATATTCCGAAAACTGACGCCAATCAAGCGCTCAGAACAGAACCCACACTAAAAGCGCGAACAATGAGAACGGAAGGGGTACGAAAAAATAAATAAATAGAAAAACACTGAATCCGCTGAACGATAACAACACAATTTCGGGCTATATTTTATCGCTTTACTCTCGTTTTACACGGGCACACGGGCACGCAGACACAAACACACGCACTCAAATCCAAATAATGCGATTTTTATTTTGGTCGAATTTTTTTTGTTTTCTGAACATACCTGAAAGTATGAGCTGCATGCCGAAAGCACCACTTTATGGGCCTGCAGCTGTCTTCCTTCAGCCGCTAGCGTAACGTCAACAAGAGCCTCATTATGTAAAAGTGATGAAAACACTGATATAAAGTTCGGCTGATGATTGTTCCAGCGCAAACAAAATTGTTGCACGGACATTTTCTCACTTATCTCTGTTGTATCACCGAAAACAGAGAGTCACCCACAATGATGAATATACACAGAGTACACACGCAAAATCCAAAATAACAAAATCGAATCGAATATCGAAGCGATTGGCGAAGCACGAATGACACCACACACACAGTTAGAAGAAACAAACGAATGCGAAATAGAAACAGAGAGAAAGAGATAGAGAGAAAAAAAAGACGAAAAAAAAAATATAATAAAAACAAGTTAGTTCGCCGCAATTACACTTTATGACACTTTGGTCGTTCAATTTAAATAAACACGAATATTTTGATTTGGATCGTTGTGCATGGAATTTATTTACCAAAAAAATGAATTTCCTTAGGACCTTGAATTCATCAATGACGTCATTCGATAAACAATATTGTATAATTCGAGAGCATATACACACACTCAGTGTTGATGAGAGCGAAAAAAAATAATATATATATATATATTTATATATATATATTCAACTCTTGTTTCGGGGGATTAAAAAATACGAGTCAAAAAAATAACCAACTTGAATGTTACATTCATTCGGTATTTTCACTGCACAATTATTGATATTCACTGTTATCAATGCATTCTATCCATATCGAGGCGATAATTGGTCAATGCAGCCCTTGAACTTATATCAAAATTCAAGAATTAAAGACGTAATTAATTTGTTCACGATTTTTTTAGTTTAGTATAGAAAATCAAAATGGCGTTTTCATCAGTAATAAACTGAGCGTTTGCGTTCGTCTGTAACTTGTCGAAGGCATTTGTGTATTGCGGGTGCGTTCACAATGCTACTCTAGCCGTACAGCCATCTGTGAATTGTCAGTGCAACTACATTGGATAAACAAACACAATTCGCAAGCACAAATGAATTTAATTCAATTTGAAAAAAAAAAATTCTATTTTCACCGTAAACAAAATGTAAAATCCGATTTTATCATTAGAAATGGAAAAAAATAAGAAAAAATCACCGTCAAATAGCAATGAACTCGATACGCTGGCGAACGTTTTGATTTTTGATTTCAAATTGCACAGCGTTTGTTTTGATAGGTGAACGATGCCATGGATATTGGCGTTGGTTATACCCGATGCATTGAATTTTTGGTGTTGACAGTTGTGACTGAAAATAATACGAATAAACAGAGAGATGAGAAAGATTGTCAAATTGAATTGTAAACTTGCACATAAACAATAACATGTATGGCTGGGTGATATGGGATTGCGCGAAGCGTTCTTATCAATTCGCTTGACCGCGCACAATTTGTAAGTAGAAACAGGAAAGAGGTGGTCGTTCGTTGTGTGTGTGTGTGTGTGTGCGTGCGTTTTTTTTGTTTCTTTTCAAAAAGAAATGTTCGTTTATTTTTTCTCTTTTCCATTCATTCAATGCTTCTTATCAATTACGTGTTGTATGAAATTTTATTTGAATTGCTGGATTTATGGAGATTTTTATGCATGATTTCTGTTTTCTATCCGCCGCCAATCAAACAGTTTTTATGTCGTAATGATAGTGACGTCATGGCTGTTAGGGTGATTTTTGATGATGCTCATTAAAATTCTTAGCGTCGCTCGTAAAACGAATTTGAATGCATGTCGAGCAAAGCGAAAAAAAACAGAGCCAGGGAAAATAGTCAACATTTAAGATGCTCAGATAACGACCGGAGAATAACAATTGCACACACGCAATGTGAATGAAGTATGAATATTGTCGGCTGAGTTTTTTGCGTGGTGCGATGTAGTCATCGTCATTGGCGTCGTCGTCGTCGTCGTCATCTTTGTCGTCAATATTTTGGCTATTCTGGCTTCGTGCGGATGAATGTGTTGCTTCGCATAAAATTTATTAATTCGCTTTCGATGGCTGGAGTGGATGTGTGTGTGTGTGTGTGTGTGTATGCTGTTTAAATATGTGTACGTTCCGTTTGATGTATGTGTGGGTGTTGAAACGAGCATTTCCTTGGGTTTCGTTCCATCCATCTCCATCGGTTGTTTGCATGGCAAAGAAATTTGCTTTATATATGATGGCGTTTGCATTGTGTCCATTGTGTGTTGCATTTGATTCGGCTACAAGAGAATTACTCACACTGCATTTGATGGGAAAATACATTGGATTATTGTTATCGCCTAAGCTTGTAAGCGAGGCAAATTATTGGAGCCGGTACAAATCAAGGACACACACACACACACACACACACACACACACACACACACACAGCGAGAGAGAGAGAGAGATTCATATCGAATAACCAAACGGCAAAATTGATAGTAAACCGCATTTACACGTCATGCAAGAGATTGAGCGTGTGAGCGAGCGACCGAGAGGATGGAAATGAAGAAATAGGCCTAATATGTGACTCATAGTAATTTCGTATTTGCTGTTCATCACAAAGCCCTTTTCCTGAATTGTTTCGTTGTTTTGCTTGTAAAATTTGACGATTTTCATCACGCCTCCCCCATTCACGATATTTTGCGCGAAACAACGGATCCACACAATACCGGCAACAAGATAAACTTAGCACGTTCAATTCATAAAACGTTTCGATGTATATAAAAATGAGATTACTTATTGTAATATATATCAACTATATAGCTCACGGCCTTTTTTTTCTTGGCGGTGGTTGTGGGTTGTTGTTGTTTTTGCTGCTGCTGTTGCTGCTGTTTTTTTTCGGTTGGCGGTAGCGCTGCCGGCATTCTGAGAATGTGAAATGAAGATATGTTCCACGAACTGAACGACGAACGGAAACTGAACTTGCTTTTGACTTCTTTCCCCATTCAAACACATCAGCTCCAGCCATCCAGCCAGTCACACTCATTCAATAGGTTTTTGAAATGAAAACGGTTATTTTATCATCTTCTATTTTATGATTTCATAAATGTAGTTTAAAATTTAACAAACTGTAAGTATTTTGTAGGAAAATGTGTTAGCATTTCTTCGAAATTCGACGGCATCATATTGACAGTGCGTGAGATTGGTCCGAATAACATCGAAAGCGTTCGTTTAATAATGTTTGCTTATGTTTCTATGCACGTCGATTGCTGTAACACGTCTATTTATTAGCTGCTCACATCCCTTATTGCCGACAGGGCATAGCCATCTTTCGCTGTATACACAACAGCTCGGTATCTTTGGCTACGTTTATTATATTTACGACGTTTTCTTCCTGCTCGCTGATCGACATTGGTGCAGCGTTGAAAAAAAAATAATAGAATAAAAAAGTAACAATAACAGCAGCAGAAGCAACAGCGGCAGCAGAGAAAAAAAAATTCGGCAATAATAACCGACACAAATGGTTCGATGTGTCGATTGAGTTTTTTTTTTTAAAGAAAAGGATATATATGTGTGGCGTATGCACAAGATTTGTTTTCGCTCGTCGAAATGGAAACGAATTCTCGGTACGGTGCGACCGCCGTTCAACCGTGCCTTCATGTATGTACATATCATGCTCTATAGCATCGGCGTTGCGTCTCTCTTACAAGCTGTTGATTGTGGACGAAGTATACTATATATAAGAAGTGGAAGAAAAAAATCATCGACAGCAACAACAACAAGAACAACAAGAACAATGGTGTGTCGGATCGAAGGATTTCGAAGCTGTGCGCATTTTCCCAGCGCATTATCTGTTCCCCACCAATCAAATCAACAAAAAGCGTGTACCGTTCAACAGGATACACAACGCGCGTTTTTCACATGAGAACACTGTATGAGAGAGAAGTAGCGTGAATCTATGCGACACACAAACGCCTAATTCACGTTAAATTCATTCGAACAAGTTAAACACGTCTAGGACTTTAAGTGGAATTGACGATCTTCTACGTGTTTCTCTCGCGCGCGCTCTCAATCTCTCTCTCTCTCTCTCGAAAGCCCGACGAGCGTTTTGTGTCACTCTCGATATATAATAGAATAGTGAAATCATCGTCGTCACAGTAGCAGCACCACCAACGACAAGGCACACACAAAACAGTCGAACAAAATTCAAATCAGATTCAGAGGGAAAAGAAAAAAGTGTACGTGTTTTGTATTGCAATTGAGATTCGATTCGGTATTTTTTTTTAATTTGCTATTTCAAAATAAAATCATTTAAACAAATAATTCGTCTAATTGCTGTACTGGCGTAGTATTAAATTGTTCGGCACTCTTTTATTTCTCCTGTAATTTTTTCGAATACATTTAGTGTGTACTGAATTTCATGCGAGAATAGATCAATCTATATCGTTTTTATGTCGGAAACATTCTCAACCGGATTTGGTGCGGAAATTGCTTTTCACAATTCATTACGAAGATCTGCACAGAACAAGCGTCTTTAATTATGTTTTCCGTTTTATCATAAACATCTATAATTGTTGTTATTAACAGGTTTATTGTGAGTGGATCATTTAATGCCAGTTTTAATATGAAATTACATTCAAGAATAATAAATTACGAGAGAGTTTAAAGCGTTGAAATAAAATAACAACAACAGCCGAAAAACGTTTAAATAGTGTGTCAAACATTTTAAAAGAAATTCGGTTTGGAAGGAAAAACAGCGGTTAGTGAAGGAGCAACACACAAGTCAAAAATTAAGCTGTTCGCTTTTCATTGCTCATTCGTTTCGTATAGGGTTGTACGAATGGAAAAGTAAAAAAGCCAAGAGTAAAACAAACACACTGGAAAAACTATTTTGACAACAGAACTTTTTAAGTACGATTGGAATCTAATCAGGTGAACCGTATGAACGCGAGACGACATCACGACAATAGCTTTTCAAATACATAGAAATCTACTCTCCGTCTCTCGCTCACCACTCCCGATCAAACACATTCCATTGTGGGCCCATCGTTCCGATAGCTGTAAGTATTTTACACAAAGTTGTTTCTCTTGTTTATTTAACTGATGGAATTTTTATTTTGCCCTTTGATTTAATTAAAGTGGTGTGTGTGTGTGTGTGTGTGTGCCTCTTTGCTGCTTCCAAAAATAAACAAAAACGAAATTGAAAGAGAACAAAACGGAATGAAAGTACCAAGAAGAAAGAAAGAATTTGATGATAACGAGGTTTTGGTGATGGCAACTCGAGCAAAAAATATAAATGATTTTGGATAAAAAAATTTTTTTTGTCATTTTCTGAGGACGTAATACGGTAGAGATAGACAAAAAGACAAAAAAAAAATTTCGTTTGTAATGTCCACATTCTCTGTTCTCTTGCTATTGATATATGTCTAAATGGGATGTATAATGAGAAAAAGAGAATCAACAATATGAAAACAGGATATGTGTGGCGATGTCCTGTAACTGATGGTTGGTGTTGTTGTTGTGTGTTGTTTTTTTTATAAATCGACCACTTTATGTTTGTGTGTGGTATGTGCGTTGAAACGCGCCGTATCACCCCATAAAGAGATAAAAATTGGTACCGAAGACAAAAAAGACAAAGGGAAAATGGGTACATACAAATAAAAAGAAGAAGAAGAACCGAGAATATAATATGTGTACAAAAATGAGAGAGGAAAAAAAGAAAGCTGTGTTTGAATATGTGCTGTATTGGATTGGAAAGTGATAAGGTTAGTCAGGTCGCCTGGTATATATATATATATGAATGTCGGTGGTGACTCACAGTAATCGGCAAAAAGGTGTTGCGTGAACGAACGTATCGCCTCGCGTATTTTTCGTTGATTTCGTAGTGGATTTTCTCTTTGTTCTTCCCAAGCGCCAGAGCACTGTGTGTATCGCGTATGATATGAAATGTTTTATCAATATTGGAAATGCTATCGTAGCGGTGAGCTTTTTCTTTCTCTTGGCCACCGATTTTATTTTTTTCTTGAGTGCAAGCGTTGCTGGCAGCTTACGGCACATATCGAACCTTCGCTGTTGGTTATTGAGACATACACACATACACCATACATTCGATACGACCAGAGAAAAAGAGCAGCAAGAAACACTAATGAGACACCGGCTGTCAAATTCGCTGAAATGAATACACTACCAATTACATTTTGATGGCAAATAAATATATTAGACAATATTCACCTCTCTCATGCATAACCGAGTGAAAAGTGCGCGGAACGATGACTAACATATCTATCCATGTCGATTTGCCCGAAACACACAGACATCTCATTCTCACTCTTTGGTGCGGGAAAATCAAATTGAATCAAGTGCGTGCAAAAGGAACGCACACACAACAGATAAATAGAGAAACCAAAAGAGAGAGAACGAGGGCGAGACAGTTCCCGAAACGAAAAGTTTTCGTTGTCGGTGATTCATTCTATTCGTCGCCTGTCAAATAGAATCTGTGTTGAAAGTTCCACGTAAATGTCCAAAACGAAACATCACAATGGATGTATGTTTGGACTGACATCGTAGTAAACAACATGGAACAACAAGACGAACAACACAATTCAATGGAATATTTAGATTAAATTGCGTATCGATGTCACTTGGTGTAGACAAAAAAAAATTCAATTACTAATAAATAAACCACTTTAGTCTATCCACAAAACATGGTGATATCGATGGTCGATAGCCCTGCTGAGCATATTACTTTCACCAATCACATTCGTTGTCGCCACATCAGTTGCTGTTGCTGTTGCCGTCTATGCCGAACCATCGATGGATAACGCACATACTAACTCTCTCTATCGCATACACATATACGCACATACGCACACCCGTACACACTACGGCAACACATAGCGGGAGAGAGAGAACAAAAAAGCTCTCAAAAGTAATTGATTCGTTAAAAAAACAAATTCTTACCTTTTTCTCACGTGTATGCATTCACTCGCACACTTTTTTCATCACTCTCACTCTCATTCTTATTGGCTCTTTAATTTTTTGTGGCTTTATTTCAAGTGCCTCAAAAACAGTAGTAAACACTAAATTCTACCACATCAATGAAATTATTGACGAGAGACTAAATGGATTCTATAATTCGAAACATCACTTGTTAAAAACCCCATTAGAAAATATTCCACATTTTGTTTGACGAGAAAGTAGTGATTTTGACCAAATTTCAACGACAAAAGATTTAATCCGTCTGTGTGTGTGTTGTGTCGACCCTTGAAATACTGTGGCCTAGTTAAATTCCAATAATCGTATAAATTTGAACGTTATCAATTAATGCTCATTGTTTCGGCAAGCCCAGTCACCATACGTTTAATGACAATCGTTGGTATTTTCTGCCTGCCGCTTCATCTTCCGAAGATGTTCACCGTTTTTGGCCTAATCTTTCGGACACGATTTGTTCTGATTTAAATGTGAAAATGTTCCGTTTCCAATTCACTATGCATTGGCAACCCATAGTCATAATGATGTGTATATCACTTTGTGGTTGTTCTCAGTGTATTGGAAACAGTTTTAGGGCCAATCAATTGCAGTCCGTCCAATCAATGGCAAACAAGGTGTGTTCGGAAAAACTTAGCCACTTGAACGAAACTTTCGATCGAAATAGGGAAAAAAAACATCAACAAACAAATTCATCTTCATTAGCCGCTGCCATTAGAGTGAAATTGCCGCTGATGGAACATAAAAGTAACACCGAAAAGAACATCAACGCTGCTTGTCATTAATTTGAAGCGCTTTAAATAGGAATACGAAAGAGAAGAAGAAGAAGAAGAAGAAGAAGAAGAAGAGGAACGTTGTAACGCAAACAATTTAATGGTAAACGCGTTCAAGCGTTCACGCGCTTTACTTCCATCATCTAATTACTTGACGCTTAATTGCGACAAATATTTGACGTTTCAACCATTCATTCCGGCTCAATCTGTTAACGGCTTCAATTGGGGGGGGGGGGATGAGGCATAGAAAAATTGTGTATACGGCAACAGTGGCACCAGGCACTGTCACACCTTAAAGATCTAGAAATAAATTTGTATGATTATTCATCTCCTCCTCCATCTTCTATGTAAGGTTGTAAGCGCACACAATTCACACACCGATTAACACATCGTTTGTGCATAGATTAACGACGCATGTGGCCATTGTCATCAATAGGTGTGCAACTCTGACGAAAAATCAATTTTCTGCATCGCAATTTATTGGATGTTCAAAAGCTAAAATTGGTTGGAGCTTCTTTTCCTCCGCAAGCTGTTTAATGTTCATTGTGTGGTCTTTCAACATGGTATGTTAACTGATGTAATGGAATTACCCCTTACAAATTGCTTCCGCTCAAAATTTTGCCATATTTATGAAATCTTTCGCACGAATTATTCACTTCTGAAATGTTCACAATTTTTTATTATGATTTTTTTTCTCGCCTCCTTTTATTTTTTTTATCCCGGACGCTTAGATGTTACGATCGTTCAGCGATTTAAATACAGAAATTACAATCTGATTCAGAGAAAGAGGAAGAGAGAGAGAGAGAGAGAGCAAGCGAGAGCGAGATAAAAAGAGCGAAATGAACGAAAGTTTTTGAATGAAACATTCTTTCGCGTGGTTTTTCCAATATGCACACAAAAGAGAACAACTTTCTCTTCATTCATGACATTAATGAAATTCTTCGAGGACTTTTCAATTCTCCCAGAGCAAACTTATTTTTCTGCGTCTATTCAGTTTTACTTCATCTTCTTTCCGTCTTTTTCATTACTAAGAACTATATTGTAGAGTACTTAAATGTATCGTGCATCGAATGATGTTATGTGTTCTATTGTTTTCATGATCGGTACGCGGAGATGGTTCGGTGTGATACACATAAAACGCAATATAAATGCCGTTCATGGTATTGGATGGTAAATGCCTTTATCCATCGCATAGCGTACATATAAATCAGGTGATATTGTTTTAAATGCGATGACCTGAACCATGACCGGCTCGTGTCCCCTCTCCACGCACACGGGTACAATGTTATTGGTTCAATAGACTAAACGAAAGCCTCTCAAAGCCAGATTTGCATAATCGCTGTATGATGGTAATGTGCACGTTTTGACGATGAAATAATTAATAATTATTTCAAAACGGATTTTATTGTGGAAGTGACCGCCGTTCAAAGACGACACAACCAAAATACGCACATACGCCAGAGAGAAAAACAGACAGATATGTATATGAAAAATGTTGAGGCGAGAGAATTTATGATTAAATCATCATATTCCCCTCAACCATTTGTATTGGATGAATTAAAATTCAAGTTAACCCACTAAAATGGTATGGATGAGTATCAAGTTAATCAATATTAAAATTAACAATGAACACATAATACATATTCCGGAAAAAAAAGTTTTGATCAAAGTTAAATTAGGCGCTTTATACTGGCGGATGCAGAAGTTGAGCTGTTCGCAACCACTGCGAATAAAGTTTTAATGATATCATAGGCTTTACACATGCACACAGCTTGATTTGAAATGTTTTCGAGCTTTTCTCTCTGTGTTTGTTGAAACAACTAAATTTTGGCATATAATACGGGAGTAAGTAAGCCGTATCCAACGAATTCCAATGGCAGTAATAAGCACACAGCAAAATTCATGCATTTTCACGCGAAAGCCAAAATTTTCGGATGCTTTATGTGAAGACAAAAGCAATATGTTTTTCGTTACTCTATTTTAAATGAACGACGCAGAAAATTTTACGCCAGTTCTGCAACAAAGGGTCGGCATTCGCAAGGGATGCGTATTTTTGTGAGTGAAAATACGAGTAATACGGACAGATAGTGAGATAGAGTGAGAGTGAACGTAGAAGAGAGTTACAGAGTGATGACAATAGATAAAAACAGTTGATTGTACTTGCTCTCGTCGTATGCCTGATGTTTCTTCATGCCATTTAGGTCTATTGAAGTCGGCGATAGTTTTTATTATACTACCGAACCCATAGTAACAAGAGCCATCGGCTTTTCGAACCAATGTCGATGTAGTGTATTTCTTTT